TTATTATATTATCTATAATTCATTAAACTACTGTGAATTCTACTCATATGTATAAGTTTAATGAAATATTAGAATGGAAAGTTAAATAAATCATAATGACTAGTAATTTACGAAACGTTTAAATCGATTTTTGTATACTTTATAAGTTGTAGGAATAATATCACTTGAATTACGATCAGACAAATCGGGTGATTTTTTTTCGGAAAATATATTCGATCACTTATCAGTTAAGTAAAATACAATATAACATCAACGTACGAAATGTTTCAACTATCGAAAATTGATCGTTTTATAAAAGTAATTAATTGAAACTAGCGAACGAAATAAGATTTTGTTTTATTTCATCTGTGTCTTATTAGAAAAATCTACTTATATCCTAATGTTTTAAAACTCATTGAAACCTCAACAGAATATATGTCATTATAAAGTATATATATTCAAATCAATAGAAAGTTTCCTTTGAAAAGTAATCACACCTAGTCACATCGATCAAAAGTCAAGTTTAAATAAGAATATAGAAGTTTTATTAATTCATATTAAAATGAGATTGGTGGACGAAAAGTTTGGCAGATCAATTACTTATCTGAATATTGTAGCGGTAAATAAACAGCTCATCAGGTATTTAATATTAGTACAAATTATCGTTAGTTCTAATGAAAATTATTAACTGTAAGCACACGGTTAAAAATCTACGCTGTTTTGTGGGATACCATCTTTCATCATCTCGATACCCAATGAAGCATCCTTATTCCCGTCTCTCTGTGTGCGAATAATTAGTCTTTCTTTCCAACTAGTATCACCCTTACCAACTATCTTTTAAGCTCATATACATCTTCCTAGCACTACGTTTTGATGAGTTTGATATCAGTACTTTCGGATTTTGCTGCATAAAGAATCTTCAATTTATAAATATATATTTACAGATGTAAACTTTGGTTAGATTTGAATCAATTCGCATTCATATCAGACAGATCCTACCTCAACCTGGGAATCTTCCGAATAAATGCGTTCTAGGAAAGTATGAAAAAGTATATATAGTCCTGGTTGAGTCCAAGGTTTTCACTGCTCCCAGCTTATGGTTGACCCCACTAGTCTATCCAGAAGTCTTATTATTTTTTACAAATCTACCCTGAATGTTTCCTTGAGGTTTTTAATCATCCTTGTAGCCATCAATTTTTTTTCAGTTTTAATCTCAAGCTTTCAATTTATCTACTGTAAGTGGCTGTTTTAAGTATACCAAAGGGTGACATTGCATTCTCTCAGCTATACTTTTGTTAATTTATGCTCATCTATTAGTTTTTATGTCATTACTAAATAAAGTGTTTACTGAATGTTTTGTGATAATCTGAGACGCTATGTTGATAGGAAGTCTGCTATCCATGTTTCGGTCTCCGGGACAATTCCTCACGTAATTGTTAACAGTGACGGCATCATTTCACTTATCTGAAGATTTCCAAGCTGATAGATAGTGAAGTCACCTTAATAACTTGCATCGTCAGGGCGTCTTATAGATTGCAAGGGTCTGGTTCCAGTTTTATTTTGAACCTGCTCTGTTGGATTATCTGATATCCAAATGATTACTAAAATTAACATTCAACAGGTCCGTAAATAGAAGCTGAAATATTTTATGATTATTCAGGTAAGCCGAACTGGCGGAATGATAAATTTGTATGAACCAAAATATCTACAATATACGTTAAGTACATTAAGCCATTACGATATATAATAGTAAGTGGTTTTGTTAGCTTGTTTAAGAAAAGCTGTGAACAACCAGACTAGAAAACTTAACCCACAGATTTACGGACTTTCTTATCTGAGGTTTTCGCATCAATAATAAATGATTGAAAATTCCCACTCTTTCAGCCCACAAAATAAACTTGAAGTATCATGTTAATGGTAAATTTATTTAAATTATAACTATTCTATTGATGTTTTTACTTATCATTTGAATAAGTAGTCTACATGGTCACAAATGTGCAATGACGAACACTGGCTTTTCCCTTGGAGAGTGCTTATTGGTGGAATTTGTGACACGTATTTCGTCTTTTTTTGAGGCTTGATATTTGACTGAGTCTGCATTTCATTTTTAATAATGACACAGACTGAAATTTAGTATGGATCGTTTTAAGCTTTAGAGTGCCATTTACTCGACTATTAAGTTGTGGTATGAGCTAACAAATTCGACAATTATTTTCTACTTGTAACTACAGAAAATGTCTCGATATCAAATAAAGAACTCTATGTACTAATAATGACTGGTTAAAATCTCTTTTGAGTATCAACAAAGCAAAAATCTAAACTTTTAAAACTCCTAAATTCACATACAATGTGGTCGAGTGATCATGTGAATAACTCACGTATCATGTACTGGTTATTGGGCTCGAGTTTCAGTGTCAACATCATCATAGGATAAATTCAAGATAAATGCAATTCTGAACTTCATTGCTAGTGACTGTTCAAAACATAAGCAGTATTTATTGCTTAACATATGATTTAACAGAATTTTATTACCTAGTTTTTTTAAATTACCTTTATACAAATTTCATGAATGTTAACTTTCAGACTTCATGCACACTTGAGCATAATACTCGTCAATATAAATCATTTAAAATGTGCAGACAGGCTACTACTTAGATATACTGGTTTCATTCTAGTTCCTAACAATCATTTATTATGGTTAACTATCTTAAGAATCAAAACTGATTAAATGGCTTTTAGTGTATTATGTTAAAAACTATGCAGTCACTGTAATTTTAACAACCTGACAAATGAAAATGAAAACTTTTTTCATTTAGATATTTACGTATCCCTAATATATAAACTTTATATAGTATCAAATAAGGTTTAAACTATTTCTTCTGGTTGGTGCTTTTCCGACAAAGTTCTTTTTCATGAGACTGGGTTGCTAACCCCATTCCCAACCTTCGTCCATTATCAGATCTTGAGATGGACCCTAGAATGGATCCAGTTAATTCCAAATATACTTATATATTAAAGGCTTACTAATCAAATATATGAAAGAAATGGTAATGATGAATTTGTTGCGTTCAGTCTTTCCTGTTTCAAAATTTTACTATTGACACTTCACTGATCATATTCTTTTCACAAAATGAAATTAGTCCTGACAATCTAAGAAAGATAAAAAGACGCATTTTCTACAACACTGAAAAGCTTGACATTTTAATTCATCTTTTAAATCATACTGATTTGTTGGTAAAGAAATTAAAGATAAAAATCAATGCAACCAGAAAACCAAGTTTAGCTTTATGAGGCATTTCCCAAATAATAACCAATTTGACTCGACTAGTTAAAACAAAAGTAGATAGTACCGAATTTAGATTCATTTTTCAATAAGTCCAATTTAAATACTTAGATATTTAGTTATGGCTTAATGTAACATTTAATCAAAGTAGATACATTTCAACTGAAATTCTAAGTAACATTCACGAAAATAATAAAATCAGGAAATATTTTATAAAGAGAAATTTTCACAACGAATATCTTCTCCTATAAATGAAACAATAAAACAGTATCGTTAAAGTATTTCTATTCCAATATCTATAGCACCCATTCATGGTATTGAAATACGTCAACATATATTAATCCGAAACATTGATCTTTAATCCAGTGAGTCGTATCATAAACTCATTACTTTTTTGTTTTTTACTCATTCCCAGAACTGAAAATTAATGCTCTCTATGGAACAGTCTACAAACACACACATAGAATATACATGATTCATCGGATACACTATGTCAAAGTGATAGTAATTAGTTGTTCATAAAATTAATCTGTTTTAGATATTTATCACTGCCTAAATAGTGTTGTCAGTAAAAGTAGCACTCATTGATAAAAACGACCTCACTAGATTATTCATACTCTTATTGTATGATACTTCTCTTCATCTTTAGTTGTCAGTCAGTTTTTTGAATGACAACACAATGTTTATATTAGAGTAGAACATTATCAACTACTTCACTCGTTATCATTAATTTAAGTGTCAACGCAAACCAGTCATGAAGCAACATATCGAATTTAGAAGGAACAAATTACAAACCACACGTGTTTACACTGTTGCTCAAGACGATTGGAAGACTGCATTTTCTCAGAGTTTCTATCAAAACAAGACTATGTTACTTAAGTATTCTAAGTTAGCAAGCGATATTCTCAGTAAGAAATCAATCCCTGAAACGTTAAACGATGAGAGCATTATCACTAGACGAATGTCTATGACGAGGTTAGACAAGAATAGGGGCACTGGAAAACTTACAAACACCACTAAATGTTAGCACTTCCAATGACAGTTTGTTATAAGCTCTGATTCAACCAGTAGTTTTAGAGTTTAGAGTGTGTATGAGACTTATGTACTATACTTACATATACTATTGATCATGTTAATTCTAATTGTATTCTAGTGGCTCTGTAATATGTCTGATATCCGAAGTGGAAATATATATATATAAAGTGACGTCGACAAATGATGTAATTAGATTCATGAGTCAGTTGATGCTAGACTAGCATGGAAATTGTGGATGCACTGGACAACCGTTTCTTCGTAGTATGGAACTCCTTAGCAATGCGCATCCACGATCCTGCCCCCGAGATTCAGACCCAGGACCTATCGGTCTCGCGCGCTAACGCCTAAGCTTTAGACCACTGAGCCGGCATACAATGGTGTCAATGTCTAACTTCAATCAAGCCACGAAATTGCATCACCGTCCACCATTGTCTCAAGTGAGTTACTATCTCACAACAGACCCGATTGAACTTCACTGGTTAGGTCTTCTGACTAGAACTCCAGGAAATAACTCTTTGAGACAGTCACTAGTGAGCATATGATGATTATTATCAGACAGGGGTTTTTATTATTAAATTACTACAATCTCCACAAACGCCCTCCCCTCTGATTACAATGATATGAAATTATCACACTCAGGATTACATTTGATCTTTTATTTCTATTTTTGAGTTCATCGTTAACCATAGAACACATCTAGTGTAATAATAAATAACAGTATTTTGATGACATTATAACATTTTTAAATAAGTGGGTCATTAAACAGCTCAATGGGATAATAAGTCCAAGGTATTTCCTCTCAAATTCTTAATCCAATTAATATTCGAACGAGATAACTTCTGTGTATGTTATAATTTTCGAATAACGGTGAAATCAATGATTCGTATTTCGTTCTTTACTAATGTTATACGTAGCAACGATAAATAATAGACTTCTAAAAGTCAATATTAACAAATATCCTGACCGAATTAAGAAATAGAACAAATGTTTTGCATTGTTTTTCTTACTGGCACACTAGTCATAAAGTTAGTTTTGCTTAAGAGCTCATTTACAAGCACAAGTTTCCGTCAAATACCCTTTACTTTAGCTTAAATTTATTCATGGTAAGTTATAAATAGGTGTTCATTATTTAAAATTAAATTTAAAGATTATCTTCATAACACTAAAGCAATGTTATTATTACGTCTAGAAAGGGTACATAGTTCAATATAGTTCTTGTCACTAGAAGTCATCTAACTTAATTTTCTCCCTCTTCCAATTCATTTCTACTGTCTTCTTTTCATTACGAGTTTCCACTTGTCTATGTCTCTATAAATTTCACCATTTTCTTCTCTGCTTAAGATTTACGTCTTCTATCAGGTCATTTGACTAAAATAATTTTTTTTTATCACAAACAATAAATCCATACGTTTAATGAAAAATTCTGATGAAAATTACTTTATTTCCTACCATCAACATTTTCAACAATTATCTTAAAAGTTTATGTTAATTGATGGTCTGCACTTCTTCTTTCTGTTTTTTACAAATGTATTAAAATCGCTGGACGAAATCGAATGCTAATATCTTATTTTGCTTTATTCCATTCTAACATTAATAATGATATTTATGGATTCAATAAAAATTTATCAAAGTTAATCAGTGAAAAATATCGAACAATAAATCACTTGTATTATCTTTGGCGTATCGGCTTTTCTATATCTGGAGGTGTCATCGCTATTAATGTGCGGGTTGACTTTGTTGTGTTCACAGTCCTACTGCCTGTACTTGAAAATCAGGAACTACTCCAACTCGTTGATCCTACTGCTTATACTTTGAAACGAGAATCACTGCAATTCCCACAATGTAAAGCAATAAAGCGTATGACTGGTCCATTGACGTCCCTACACATGTCAAAAAAATCACATCGTCATTTGAACAAAACACAATCATTTCTTTACTAATTTTTGCACACACTTTATAATAACACATCTATGAGGAAATATATGGGGTTACTGTAGAAATCCACACACTGAATATAGTTTACCAGAAGTGATACTGGGAATATAATTGCCACACTGAACAAAGCTAATACCTGTCATACTAAACGAAGTTTATTCTGAATCGATACAAAAAATATCAACCTTAAAATCGTCACGTTGAACGAAGTTCACACCTGTCACCCTGCCTGAAATTCATAATAAATCAATACGAAAAATATTTACATAAATAATGTCACATCTTTATACCGTCATATCATCGGTAATTCTCAGGTATTTTCTTACTGTTTTACATTAACTCAGCGCCTAACTACTGTGAAATTATTCATTCAAATTTAGACGAAAGTTTCTACTTCACTTTATATTATACTGAGTTACAGTTTACTAACTTATTATGTTGTTTATTAGTAAATTAGGAATATCATAGCACATTTTACTAGGAATTTATCAATTTTTCATTTTGTGTATTTTCGTTATACTGATAAACATAAAAAAGATCGGATTGATGATCTACCTTTAAATTTCTATGGTAAATTGTAGTGATAATTCAAAAAATTAGTTTATGAGTGGATTTGGTTGTAGTTTCTTTCCTAAGATTTCATCTGCATTGCATACTGTAAGCAATTATAAACATGTCGTTTATATATGTAGTGCCAGTAAAATGTCATGGCATTTGCCAAATCATCCGCCAGTCAGGTCACTGAGTATCGAGCAGCTTACCGACCCTCGCCAATGTCAAAGGCAACCGATGCACGTCTATTAATTACACACTATAGCGGTGGTCGTACTCTGTTCTTTGTGCTTACTCTTCCTAATATATTCCTGCAATGACGTCGTTTGTGTTGTACGATCACCATAGTAGCCATAGTACCTGAATACGAAGAAAGGGTAATCAACTCTAAGTGCTAACCGTGAGATGTGAATTCGACGTTAGCTGGTTGGTCACGTCACTCCCGTCTAACTTTGGTAGGCCTCATTCAATACAGACCATCTACCTTGATGATCAACATATATGTTGTTGAGTTTTTTGTACAAGTACATATTTATAATGTAGGATTTATTTTGCCTACAGACTTCTTTTATAAGCACATCCACAAAATCGTTGTGTTTGAATCAGGGTGTGATTACAGTTACATAAATTAAAACTTGGTCTTTAATACTTTATGTTTCTAAGACGTAAATTAATATAATTAGTATGAGAATAAGTAGCTGATATAGTTGGCCAAAAGTAAAGTAAAACATATATACATAGAAATATAATAGTGCATGAAGTCAATAAACGCTTATTAGGAACAGTAATATAATAAAATTAAAAAGTTTATTGATTAATAAGTAAATAGAGTCCATACTAGTTTCAGATTGAGTCAAATTAATGACCGTTTTAATTTGGATAAAATTAGTCACTTTAATTATAGAAACAAATAACATGAATAATTTATTGTGATTGTTGACTGTCCTTGTATTTTCATCATTGCTTTGGCTACTTAGCAGATATTAATTAGCTCTACTAAAACTTTTCAATAACTTTGTATAGTTTTAATTCCTAGAGTTCAACACTATTGAACGTCTCGTAACTGGCAGTCGTTTCCAGAACCTTAAACAATGATCGCGTTGGAAGTAATTATTTGTGTACTTGCGAACCTTTAACGATGAACGAAGTGAACACATGTAATATCATCACGGTATTGATCTTGCAAACTCTAATATCCAGCAGATTCTAAGTGACCCAGACAGTTTAGTGTTGAAAATTGAAGTGAAAATGCAATCAATAGGTACAGGATTTATGTTTATACTCAATACATAAATCACCTGTGCACACAGCGTTATCCAGTACTTTTTATCGTGTTCGATTGAATTACATTTCTGTAATCGATCACGGTATTTTTGGACAAAAATAAATAACCTCACAAGCACAATCTTACGTTGGTCGAATAGTGTTTGTGCTACATTGGTGATGCTTTAGACTAATTAACTTGAGTACCTGAATAACGATTGGACAGAAACAAATTTTGACAAGGAAAATCAAACTATCGTTCAGTCTAAAGAATTATTATTTCAACATCAAATAAATATAAATGTTATGATTTGTGTAGTTAGGATAACTGCTATTGCCAGAGATAATCCAGCCACTTATTTATGGAATTTTAGAGACCAGTTGATGAATTTACCTCAAGCCTTATTGTCTCAGTAATTATCTACTTCATAGATTGTTCCTCTGTGAACTGAAGTACGCCGGATGGAGCCCGTATTCTCACTTATTCGAAGCATATCTACCTAAATCACTGATTATCCCAAAAATAACAAAATCAGAATGAATACGATTTTGCTTCCTGTTTAGTAATGACTTCCATAGATAAAATTTGTTTACTTTTCTGTGGAAACGAATGCGATGAAAAGTGAAGAACATCCAGTAAACGAGTAGCGTACTGTTGGAGAAACCTAACATTTAGGCTGTTCATTACTGGTTCGATGTAATGTCATTTCACCATATTACTTTAAAAAATCGATGTTTTTTGCAAGTCAGTTAGTGTAGATAAATAAGTAGATAGATAGATAAGTAATGTGTTGCCAAAATTTACTTCAAAAGAACTGCAGCTCTGTTTGCAAAATAATTTAGCGAAGAAATTAAGTATTATCTATCATATAACTGTAATCTACAAAATGATAGCTTTGAAACAAACTATTTACATCAGTTAATCTTACCTTCTCAACGTCGATCCCATCTCAGGATTGCAACGACTGAAAGATGAGTTAGCAATGGTTATAAATTACATCAATCGAACTGCAATGTTTTGTGAACATTTGAACATCTGTAGTATTTGCACAAAATAATGCTTGTGACCTAAGCCGATTTCGAGGCAATCTACACAGGATGCATATATGCCAATAAGAGACTGGTCGATTGCAATCTCAAATACCAATGGGAAGATTCAAAAAAACAATACAGAATGAGTTTACATTTAATCCTGTTGCACAAGCCAGTAGCTGTTTGGACTCTGTAGCTAAGTGGGTTACGTGATGTCGTTTAAAGCGAAAGGTACTGAGTCCGAGTCTCGGAGTGAACATCAACTCTTGGGTGCACGTATATCCAGCTGACGATTCCCAAGTAGGACGAGATGCGCGTCCTGAATTCCTCTGATAGGCACCATCATCTCTGTTTATAATAACCGTGCTGTAAGCGAGAACTTAGGTTAGGAAGACAAATCTATTTATTTGGTGCAACATTGTAGTGTCTTGATAAATTATGAAAACCGTGCATTAAGTATTTCATTTGCATATCTTCTATCATTTGTCCTTTTCATCCTTCACGATTTTACCACTTCTGTTTTTATTCCAATTCTTGTCTGTTTCTCTTTCGGTTCCCAACCTTCCACATCTGATTAGTGTTACATACTACTTATGTCTGTCGACATAAGTAGCATACACCACAAATGTTTTGTACATACCTATGATATTTGTTTGCAATACTGATTTCTTTGTACAACATTCCTCTCTTTTTACAAATTCCAAATATTATGTGCTTGGTTGTTCTCATAGAGTTTTGTATGCCTTAAATTGGATTAATTACAGTATTCTTATTTAGAATATCAATCTAACTACCTCTATTTATCAAAATACCTGAATGGGCAACCCTAAATTCAATGTGACACTTTCAAGTGTTTGTACTGTGTTTTCTGTCTTTAGTCCTCCTTCAGTCATGACTGTCAGACTAAGTACTAGTCAGGTCTATAAATCAACTCATTGGTTTATTACACTCCATACTACTACGACTATTAATACTGCTTTTACTACTTACTTAGTGGCATTGAGATGCGAAAGGTTATTAAAAGCCTGGATATATGTCCAAGTAGTGATGTGTTTGAGTATAACATGAAACGATTTGAAATTCTATATATCAACCCAAAAAGCATTAAAAAACGACAATATCACCATCCATCTCATATTCATCTGGAAGAATGTACGAAATTTGATGGAAAACCTAAGATTCCTAGATAAGCCGATTTTACTTACATATTAAGCTCAAAAAGATATAACTAGGCTTTGTAGTGTTTATACGAACTGATGATTCCTTTGTACTTGGTAACCCACTAGTTACGAATACGAAATATAGTACGTGAATTCGTGCTCATCAAGTCCTGCCCTCCCTAAATTGCATTATTTCCAGAATAAATTTGGTAAGTATTTGTCTTGTAACAAATCCTACTAATTAAGAGCACATGCGTTTCTTAATGTCAAATGCTTTAAAAGTGGCAAAGTTGGTGTACTCAAGTTCGTAGGTCGTCCTACTATACATTTTGTGATGTGTTATGCCAAGACTTCTTACTCTCAGTTGGATGAAAACAGTTGGTCTCGATGGTTGTGTGCTATGGTTGCATCTTTCTGATGATGGTTGTAGTAGTTCTCCACGTTTCAGCTCCGTACATTAGAACTGTCTCGACGTTCGTATTGAAGGTTCTGACTTTATATTTGCTGACAATTGTTTTGAGTTCCGTATGTTCTTCATTTGTAGGAATGCGTCCCTTGTTTTCCAATCCTTGCTTTTATGTCTGCATCCGACTTCCCTTATTCATCAAATATCCTTCCGAGGTACGTGAAAGATTCCACATCTTCCAGAGTTTCACCACCAAGTGTGATTGTGTTGGTGTTCTCTTTGCTGTATTTGATGATTTTGTTTTTTTCCCTTGTGTATGTTGAGGTCTACTGATGCAATGCTGTTGTTTCACTAGTTGTCTTTATCTGAATTTCTTGGTATATATAGGATAGAAGTGCTCGGTCATCTGTCAAGTCCAAATCGTCTAGTTGCATCCAAGCTGTCCATTGTATTGCATGGTTTCCCTCAGATGTCGAGGTCTTCATAATCCAATCGACCACCAAAAGAAAGAGAAAGGGGGAGAGTAAGCAGACTTGTCTGTCTCCGGTCCTCACTTGGAATTCATATATCAACTGCTGGTGGAGAAAATTTGTAGCTCAGGTTAGGTGAGAGCCCAGAGATCAAAATCCATCAACTGTCCTCCATGCACAACTTTGCACTGTAGTCCGTCGTATGAGATCCGTATAATGTTGACCATCTTCTCAGAAACTCCATAGTGTCGAAGAAGTTTCTATAATGTTCGCCTGATCACACTGTCAAACGCCTTCTCATAGTCAGTGAAGTTGGTGTATAGTGACGAGCTCCGTTCAATTGATTGCTCGACGCAATTTTGTCTGTTCACGATCTATCCTTACGGAATCCGATCTGTTGATCTTGACGCTGGTCGTCTACTGAATCTTTCATCCTGTTGAGCCATTCTCTGTTAAAAACTTTTCCTGGTACAGATATTAGTTTGATAATTTCATCTCTCCTCTGTTTCTGGTTACTAAAGCTAGATTGTCACTGATAAATCCAATAATTTAGAGATGTTTAAGGTTGATTTTTTCATTAGTCTTCAAGTAAGCTTATGCTGATTTACGTAAACATTTGATAGTTTCATATGCTGAGTGTCGTAGAGCAATGACAAACTTGTTTGTATATGGTGATAATTACTTTATATATGTTTGAGCGTCTATTTCGAGTCAGAAAATACAATACTCTTGAGCATCCTCAGGATTCCTCTGTAGATTGAATGCTGGTCTATTCATGACTACTAGGGTATTCATTGGTAATCCAAGTTAGTATACCAGATACAGTTCCAGTACTTTTACTTTTCAAAGTGACCCGGTGTTCCTCAAAATAAAAACTCCCTTTTTTTCCAAAAGCAACGTAAAAAGTACTGGATAATTTATATAAGAAAATGACAGTTGAATCAGTTCAGTACAACATAGGATGTCAACATAGGTTATTCCTGTTGTCATATTTTTAAGATTTGATGGCCGAACCCCTAGAAGTTGTGCTCACAAATTAAAACTATATTCGTAGTTGTTGAAACAAGTGTGCATCATGGTTTAAGCTGGAGGTATATTCTTTGACGTTGATATTAAATAACTGTCAGTACTCGTTTCGGTTTATTGAAACACACCTATCAATCATCTAGTCTAAGACGCTCTCCATCTGTTTTCCAACAATTGAATAATAATGCAATAGGGGAACCAATTCAGGGACATTATTCGTCGTTTCGCCGGATTTCGACATGTAAGATGTTTTTTCGAAGCAGTCGACAAGAAACTGTGGGCCTGCCTTCCTTGCTTTTAAGCACCGTCAGGGAGGTGTATCTGCACCCCTACAGGAGATGTTTCTCCCTGGTGGATACCATCCTGTTTCGCTCATTTTCACAGTGACAGACTTTACCATTGATCTATACGGGCAATGACTGATTTCTTACGTGACTGAAATGTATTTGCAACTGGTTGATCTTTTTGTGGTGACCAATTTTACGAGTACAAACCCCTTCCCAGTCGCGAAGTGGCCATTACCCTAAGCCAATTAGTATCACTTGCATTGTGGTGGGATTTGAGGCGGTGACCAGAAAGAGCATTGTTCTCCTTATGTTAACAGGCACACCTTGGCGAAAACTCTCAACTAGCACGGGCGATTGTTCCAGGGTATTCAGTCGCCTATTTCCAGCTGCCTGGCATCCCAACATAGTACAAGCAATGTTTAACCAGTTAGACTAGTGACCACAATGCAATCAGTCAACATAAAGAAGTAACTTACAAACATGGTATTGAATAACACTCGAAGATCAATCACTTGTAAAGGCCTTAGTCGAGTCCTGGTAGAGGATTCTCGCAGATTTTTGTGGCTCATGTTTTGACAAACGTTACGATTTTGTTGCCACAGGCTCTTTCTCCAAGCGATCTCAACCGTTTTTTTATGACATCGTCGAATGCTTACTTAATAGTTCAAGCACGGGTAAACACATTCTGCCGCGTGGGGATCTCTACACCACCAGTAACGTACAGTGATTCATTTCCTGCTGTAAGTGTAGTTGTCACTCACTTGAATGAAATGGGGTGCAAACATTTATTTACTACTCCAAGACACAGTTGTATAGTGTGTGGGACAAGAGTCTGTTCGAGCCTGTGGGAAACCCTCGTGCTATTAATAGAAGAAACCAGACTAGTTGTAGTGAATAGATCTTTATTTAGATCTTCGCATAGTCACAGTGGGGCGTGGGATCAACTGTTCAGACAAACAAAGCCCCTCAACATTCAATATAAGATAATAGGAAACATAACGCCTAGACAAAATAAGGAAGTGAGTGAATACTTGAACTCTACTGTTTTGACATATGCTCAGTCGTTTGAGGTCAACTCTTATCCAATCAACCTAAGCTGTTACAGTCTCTTCAAAACGTTGCAAACTAGCATTAACGGAACTGTTACTATAACATTCGGTATAATGGAGGAAGTGGATAAATTACTCCTGTAAAATATGAATGCTCAGGATTTAGGAATGATATTCCTACCAAAAAGTTGCTGAAAATAGGGATTCTTTGATGAAATCCGAGTTGCTGAGGGTTTATAGATGTCACATATTATGACGAGAGCGACAATCAACCACCCACCGGGATTCCGTTAACAATGATGTTAAACCTGTAGTGCAAATACTAGATATTAATTATCTAAACATATACAACCATTGCATGTGTCAAGTTCAACTGCAGGGACGAGGTTAGTTTGAAGGACCCGAGAAATGTCTCTGAGCCATAGATAAAAGGTCCAGTAATCTTTTTCTTGAACATATCAAATGACAATTCACAAGACACTGAAACGGTCAAGTGTAGTCAGTGCAGAATAATCACTTGGACTTTACGGCGCTGGCTATGCTGCATTATGTCCATGCTCGGTTTCCCTTTGATATTTTCTCACTAATAAACCATGTCACGTTGGTGGGATTTGAGCTGTTCTGTTTACTCACCAACACAACCCTACACCATAACATGAATGTTCAGGTCGAGTAGCGATTGCAGGGTGTGACTTAGGTTACAGGCCCTTGTCCAACTCGAGTAAATACACCTACCCTACAGGAGATTTACAGGCCTGTCAAGAGTTCGTTTGTTATTCTCAGGCATCCCATAGTGTTTAGGAAGTTTCCATGAAGTTCTCCTATCCACATTGTCAAATGCCTTCTCATAGTCAAGGAAATTGATATATAGTGATGAGTTACATTCCATTGATTGTTCAACAATAATCCGTATTGCCGCGATTCGGTCTGTACACGACTGGCCATTCCGTATCTCGGAGCACGACATGACACAATGATACTACTTATGAAAAGTCTATGACTTCAACATAACACAACCAAGAACACAAACGGTATTGTATTATCACGGAGAGTTTAAAGACGACGTTAAATAATTAATTATACTGTTAATGTATTGTTTTTTTTACCATAAGTTTATATGAAAGACCTAGATGGGTCGTTCGGTCTTCTGAAAATATCAATGTACCACGGAACGACTGGATGAGGGTGACAACATATATATGTGTCCGTTTTCCTCCCTTCCCTAACGTACTTGTAACTTGAGTAGCTTACACATTTGCTTTATGAGCAGAAAATGTGTTAAACATATAAGTGTTCGATTTTATTAGTTGACAAGATGCTCATAGCTCATTGAAAAATTAACAATGTATGAAATGAGTCGTTTCGAAGGCAGAAAAGTTAGAATGAGACGATCGTGAATTGAAAGCCCCAGATTTAGCGCATTCTATTTCATCAGATTAAAAACAGCTTCATTTGTCTCATAACTATTTCTCTTGATACATTCCAATATGCTGTGCTCAAATCTTAGTCAGATTTCGCAATCCCTTAGTCGAAAAACAGACCTGACGTCCTTCAAGTATTTTACATAAATAAGAATTCAGAGGATTCAGTTCTAAGTGGGATTATGGGTATATGAAAACTAGATTCCGAAGCAAGAACTAGAGCAACGAGACATTCTGAAGCTCTTAAGTCATGTGTTTGTCTCTGATTAATGGTGAAGTGTGCAAAAAAACAGGTTCTCCGTTTATTAGTTGCAATAGTTATTAGGTTTCCAAATCCATACTTCCGATATTAATAACGTTTCGGGTAATTCTCGCGAGATATTTTCATTAAATTGTCACGGTCAATCATATACTTCACTTCTGAAGATCTCGATCTTTACTTGAGATACTTTTCTCATCCCCTCGATGACTAGGTTACAGTTCCAATTCTCTCTAATCACTTTCAGACCAATATTATTTCTTTAATAAAGAAAACAACTGATTTCTGTGTTATTCTGGTAATATGTTTGGAGGGGGGGGCCAGTAGGTTTGGTGATATCTAAAGAACTGTATGTAGAAACCATTCTCGATTACTCAGAAATTAAGGGAGAGTAAATAATATTAGTCATGTCGAGTATCTGTCTCAATAATTCGTCAAAGAGTGCAGAGCTAATAGGCGGGGCTTGTCGTACACTTGATTTCGTTTCTCTATTGCTGCTTTCTGATTATGACGTCTTGGTTGAGCTCTCGAAACAGTTTACACCTGATAAACAAAGCAGTATTTGAAAAGCTATTTCATGACCATAAAATTGTCACGGATATTCTGGGCATGGAAACACTTTCGTCATCAACACTTAAATAATCGGAGGATCCCAAACTCAGTCGTACGAGAAGTTAGAACTTAGGGGGCTAGGAGACACATTCCGAAGGTATACTTTATGTCGAAAAGTGCCTGAAATGATCAGACTAGTTGCTAAGAGGGATGCCTGGTATGGAATACCAGATGATTATCCGGGGGGAATGCGTGGCACAGCGCCTTCAGATAAGATTTCCTCAGTAAAACGAATGAAATACGGATCAATTTGAAAGGTTTACAGGACTTCCTATTCGAGGGATATATTCATCATTACAGTCGTTGGTAGTTAAATTCACCTACTATTCTATATCACTGTCATTATTCTCTAGTTATCATGCGAAATTTCAAACGGATTTCAATTTTCTTTCAAGTTCTTATGAACTACTCTAGCTATATCCCTTATTCATTGTAACCCCACCTGCTAAAAAGGAAAGATAGCAATTTTAACATGTTCGCTAAACAGGTACGAAAATGATGTTCCTTTCATTCTCAAATTATTTGGATGCCTATGAAAAAGGATAAAAGAGCGTCCGATAACACAATATGATGGCTCCTACGTACTAAAAACTACTATTCAAGTAGACTTACGATATGGAAACTTGAACCTACACGTGTTCTTCCCTGAAATGAGCGTTGGAAATAAACAGTCAGAGATGTTAGATCATTAAAAGAGAGGATGCATACATTAGGTAACAAACGGAGTAAAGTATACTATTGTATTCGATACTTCGATGTACACCCTTTCCTTTTTCAGTTCACTAAAACAAACAGTACTTTTCACTTCACATAGCATCCATTGAACAATTTGATTTTGAGATTATTCATCCGTGATACCTGTAGTCACGGTCAACACATCTACAGCCTCTCAAAAACCTGTTCAATCAATTAAAATACAGTCTAAATTCGAGGCTCAAGGCATAAGATCAGAGAGGTTTACTGAACTTGATAATATTGTTTGATATTTTATTACTTAGACGATCGGCTACTAGCATAAATTCGGTGCCTTACATGATGGTAAGTATGGTTGTATTCACTTCTATGTACACCGTAGCAAGTTATAGTAGTCTAGAAAGACAGCATGTTAACAGGATGTAATGATTATCCCTTTCTGTTCATGGCTATGCGCTAATATAAGTCCGACTTTTACGCGCACTTCTCAAAACCTTCGCTTGTAGTAGGTAGCTTATCAAAATTCTAACTAACGTGGTATGAAACAGTCAGAAAGCGAGGAGCACAATATTTACCTAGTAAGGATATCTGTTTTAATTTTGAAGAGCTTTTGTTTAACACTTAATTTAATCCAATCTTTGATACATAACCTCAGCGACTTTGGAGAGCTGCGTAACCTCCGCTTTTTGACTCTCTGAAAGGATTTAAGGTTTGATGGTCTTAAGATGTTTCCCAATAGAGTTTCAATAGATTGGTAGAGTTTTTCTTGTAAGTTTGACTACGTTTTAGCTACTCGACGTCCTTTCGATGTTACCTAAAGTATATTGTGTTTATGGACTTTAACCCACTAGATTTAAGCAGTCAACCACTTTTAACATATGACAATTTTTTCGCCGTAAAGGTTTAGCTCACCATGCACTTTATTATTTTGGTGGAAATTAGTTTTGGTAGGAACTACGCGGCCAGTGCTTGAAATATCTTCCATTGGTTGTGGAATATTCATTTTGTATCTCACTCCACTACTGACTAGATAGGCTGTGGTTTTATATCTCATCCCTATATGTCAGACTAGTTAGTCCAAATTGTTTCTTATCTGAGTCACTCAGTAGTACATATGGCAGAACCTGGTAGGTGGTTGAAAATATTAAGAGTAGGCAAAATGATTTGAAGAAAATGAATAAATTCATGAACCAAAGGATTTAAAAGCTAGTTAAAATTCTTAAGGTGCGAAGATCAGCAGTGAATACAATTGTTCCCTGACGAACGACTCGGGATTATCCTCTACGACTCTAATCAATGGTCATGAGAATAGCGTGGACCCCAACCTTTCAGACTGCACTCATTAACATGCCTCACTCCAACAGTAAGTGACTTTACTGACTGATCCTACGTTTTGGTCTGACCGTCTACAGATTTCCTCGAATAAACTCCTACAATAGCTAATGTCGCACGTAGAGGTGGACGATGGCTGGGATCACGTAATACATGTCCAAACTACCTAAATTGATTGATGCCCACTTTCTCGTCAACTGGTTTGCCACCTATACCTAGAGCTCTTTGTCTGACATCACGGTTGCACACTAAGTGGCCCGAAAAAGCGCGAGGAATGCTTCGGAGGAAACTTCTATTTCTAATTACTAGGATGGCTGGTGATATTTCCAAGACAAGTGAAATAGTAGAAGCACTCGACTACACTGTCTATCATCAGTTTAAGTATTACTGCAGACCAGTCATGAAGCAACGTTCCCAGAATTGAAAATTAATGCTCTCTATGGAACAGTCTACAAACACACATAGAATATACATCGGATACACTATGTCAAAGTGATAGTAATTAGTTGTTCATAAAATTAATCTGTTTTAGATATTTATTACTGCTTAAATAGTGTTGTCAGTAAAAGTAGCACTCATTTGTAAAAACGACCTCACTAGATTATTCATACTCTTATTGTATGATACTTCTCTTCATCTTTAGTTGTCAGTCAGTTTTTTGAATGACAACACAATGTTTATATTAGAGTAGGACATTATCAACTACTTCACTCGTTATCATTAATTTAAGTGTCAACGCAAACCAGTCATGAAGCAACATATCGAATTTAGAAGGAACAAATTACAAACCACACGTGTTTACACTGTTGCTCAAGACGATTGGAAGACTGCATTTTCTCAGAGTTTCTATCAAAACAAGACTATGTTACTTAAGTATTCTAAGTTAGCAAGCGATATTCTCAGTAAGAAATCAATCCCTGAAACGTTAAACGATGAGAGCATTATCACTAGACGAATGTCTATGACGAGGTTAGACAAGAATAGGGGCACTGGAAAACTTACAAACGCCACTAAATGTTAGCACTTCCAATGACAGTTTGTTATAAGCTCTGACTCAACCAGTAGCATTCGAGTATACAGTCTGCACAAGGATGCTGTACTGTGGTGAGCTTTTAATTGACAGACAGTCCCATAAAATCTTGCAACCAACAGAATCAAACGCTGCCTTAAGGTCGAGAAATAGAACTGTGGTTAGGAATCAGTAGGTTTGTCTGTATTCCAAAATTTGATGAGGAGCAACTGTTTGGTATACGCAAATACTCTAAGGTCTAAAGACAGTCTGGTTTTCTTGAGTATGATCTTCATGGACTCTAGTGGTTATCACACAAGAGGATTTTGTTCTTGTTAACTGGAACGATCAGTGGTTGAGATCAATTGGCATTATGTCCAATTAGAAGATTATGGGTAAGATATTAGTAAGTCCATCTGTTAAGAATAGACGACTATCTCAGATAGTATGTCTCAACTAATCAAGTTAAGGAATGTTCAAATCCCATCAACGAACTTTGGACGCTTACCTAGTTCGTTGTGTCTTATCTCAGCACTACCCACTCCGTGATTTTGACAATCATCAGTTTTACGAATAAGTCGCCTACTTTAAAGACCACGTTTCACAACCGTAAAGTAGATAGAGCAAGCTGATGTGCAGCATACTCGACCTTTGGTTAGCAAATGGAGATCTCGAGCAAGAGAGAGACGATTTAAGTTGGCAAAGATTAATCGAGCTTTCTGAATCCATTTCAAGGGCTTTTGAGACCTCCAAGATGAGTTAAGTAGCCACTACACTCTACCACTTCAATGCTTATCGTTAGCGTAGACGTTGGCCCACACCAGTGAAATCATATAAATAAATAATCTTCATGAACAGATATCCGCTCCACATAACTGCGAATCTATGACAACTTTTGAAAAGAGTACATCCTTAAATCCTGGATTACTGATTAGTCTTTTCATAACATTGCTCGTTTATAATAAAATAATCAAGTAATGCTGAATTTATGGGCAAACTAATTGTTGGAACTGGTAAATCTTGATGAGGCTTAAAATTTATAACTGGGATTGTTGGCTTTGTTGTCCCTACACTCAGACCCCTGCTTAGCTATGTGGAGATGTGGAGGTTTTCTAGTTTTTGCGTGTGATAACTCACTGATACTGGCGCAATAATTCCGTCTCCTGCGCCAAATTTTCAAAGTAATGTACAATATTCGTTCTGTCCACTTCATTTTTTTCTCTTGACTCTTAATTATTTTTCTAGTTTTCATTATTACTGGTAAAGTCGTTCACCCATCGTTGTTTTACCTGTTCGTTAATTTGCCGTTGCTCTGAAATACAACAAGTGAGACCAATGCATATTTGCACCAGGTCCTTTGGTGTTGGTATCTATTTGTCATTGATTATCTCTGGTGGTTACAGTTTCGAAAATTAGTTTTCAGAATCCCGTCGTAGTTGATTGGAATTTTAAATTGACATTTGGAGTGCTCAAATGTCTAGGTATAAATAATTTGCCCAGGTCAGCATGCCATCACCAAAATATTGTCATTAAATATGATATAAAAATGTTCTGTGGTTGCTAGTTGGAAGATCCTCCATCTTAAAGCAGCAAAATATCTGACTTCATAAAACAGTGATATGTGAATTTAGTTATTTTTAAAAGTATTTCGTATGATACTGTTTTGGCATACTATTTTAAGTGAATTCCAAGGCTTAAGGTGATTTGTAGCTGGTAGTTATAACGTAGTTTCATGATTGCGTCTCATTCTCTTAATGTTACATTGCTTTTCGTGAATTGAACTTTGAACTTTACGTTTTTAGGTTGAGAGCATTATAGACAGACGAGTTCGCCGTGGTCGCGTGGAGTACCGTGTTAGATGGAAGGGGTTTCCTCCGGAGCAAGATTCTTGGGAACCCTTCACCAGTCTTCGCGAACCATGCCTTTCATTAATTCAAGACTTTCACATCCGTTACCGCAAACTTCATCATGGAAAAAGGCGTTACTCTCTACCCTTGGTTTCTCGTAGTAAGCTTTTGAAGTGTGAAACAGATGAATTTCATGAAATGTCTGTAAAATTAGAAAAAGATAGCGATGACGACTTAGCTGCAGACAAGAGCAGTATTTCGTCTACCAAAAGCCAACCACCTCCACTTCCTTTTAAGTTAGGTAAGAGAAATACTGTACGGCCAACGTCGCGTCGTTCTGCTCCAAGTTCAGTAGCCTTAAGTTCGACTAGTTTCTTTTCGTTACAACCGGGAACTTATTCTGGTCACTCGTCATCCCTTCCGAGTTCTGAGTCCAGTGTTTCTCAAACACCATTAGTCTGCGATCCAGGTGCGTTGTTGAACATCCCAACACTTGACCGTTCAGATCATACGGTACACCCAGATAATGGTTGGGTTCCCTGTGAAGTTTCTGGTGCTTCAACTGGTTCACTATCTAGTCCTAATACAATTCAGGCTGAAGATGACTGTAAAGTTCCCATGGATAAAGTTCCTGTTGTCGGACTTTCTAAAAATAACTGCGGAGATACTTCACAACGATTACAAAAAACATCAAGATCACTTCCTGACCGATCAAACCGTAATACTCCCAAGTCGAGCAAACGCAAATTGCAGCCCAATGATGGTGCTGGTAAACAAAATGATTCAGCATCTGCAAATCAGCAAGTCTCTCAAAACTTCCTGAAGGGAGATAAGAATGTAGGCAATTTCACTACCTCTGATACCCAAGAAAATTCTATCCTCGGGCAAACACGTAAATCTGTTACGATTATGCTAAAGGCTTCTCCCACACATGAGTTTCAGAGCACTAGATCTCTCCACCGCAGTAATTCACCAAACTCTAAATCTCTTCCTACTACTGCCTCTAAACCGGTTTCCAAAAAGCGTGTTCAGCCTACTAGTGCAACTTCAAAGCCAGAACTAGATGTTGATGCTTCCGAATCCCTACCATCACGTGAAGATCAATCTCTCATATCTGATTCTATCATATCAAAAGTCATGAATATCGTTGTTCATCTGAAAAACTTAAGAAGACGCCCTGTACAAGAGATTGTCCTGGCACTTTGCCAAAAGCACCATAGTATTCCTGAAAGCCTCGTTTTATCTTCTCTAGACATCTTAGTTACACGAGGTCACTTACACCGTGTTGAGTCAGCCAAGGGTATATCTTATCGTTCCAACCCTTTTGTTGTGGCTCGGGGAGACCTAAAGAAACCTGCATCTCTATCAGCCAAAATTAAAGCCAAATATAATGGTGGAGTGAATGGAAAACGACCCAAGTGCACGACGTCTGCTGTACCTGAGCCTAAACGACCGGATTCAGTGGAGTCACCAAGCCATTCTTTATCTAAAATTGCACGAACTGATCCATCAACCAATGTTCACCAGCGCTCTAGTCGGAGATCTGTAACATATGGATCAGTGGCTTCTGAAAAATCCAATACGCATTGTTCTTGTTATTCAGATATCAATGGAAAAATCTATTTCAATCAGTCTTCTGTTATTGTGGATGATGTACAAGTAAATCAGGATCATACCATACATCTTAACGGAGGAGATTATTCAATGAGTGTTAAATCACCACCAAGTATGTAGTTCTTTTTTCCTATCTTGGATAATTTCTCCACAATATTCTAGTGTTAGGTAAAATATTGATTTGAACGTTGTCTAGTCACACTCACACATTAGTTCACTGTATCTCACGGAATGAATGCAAAAAGTAAATTTTGGACGTTACCATTATTTGGAACTGAAAAGAGTTTACAGTTTAAAAGCTGTTAGTTTGTAATCGATCCCTTGATTTGTGCTCAAAAAGTTGTTTGAATAGTGTTATAACTTGTGCCCTGTGTCCTATTAATGTATAACGTAATGATACCGCCAGTTAGAGAACAGTGATTTATCGACCGGACCAATGACACATAAAACCCATACGAGCAGTCTAGAGTCTTTACTGGTTCTTCTTTCTGCCTAACCCTGTCTGTTAAGTCTAGAACACTAATCTCAGCCTCTGCGATATGAATAATTTATTTCGAACATACTGGGTTCATATACCAACCAAATAGACCACATCGTACCTCAAAATAGAAAACAGCATTTGTACAAGATTTGGCTAAATGTGGCTATGAATGTGGGAGACAGTAATTGATAGACTGGGCATAACTCAAAAATGGTAAATCGTATAATAATAGTTCATAGGTCAAAATAAAGCTTATGATAAGAGGAACACGAATATGAATAGTTTGGATATTTGACAATTATACGATAAAGATATACGTATAGTATTAGTCCCAAAATAGATCCCGACAGTTGCCAATCATTATTCTCATCGGTATATAGCAAATAGCCCCTTCTTAAAGGCAGATACTTCTACCCGTTCTTATTAAGAAAATATTTAGAAGAACCGTTCTGTTTAAGAATCCTTGTAGTATTTTTCATCAACACTGTTCGTAAGGTTTAACAACCATAGGATGGTTGTGGTAGCTAACTTATATTAATGATCCAGGGTTCACTGCTGATGTTTTGAACACAAAATGGCATTAAAAATCAACATTCATAGTTTAAATCATCCTCCTCTGACTATTAATTATGTTTGATTGATGTGATTGTTTTACAATTACTTGTGTTAGCAGTATGGACTAAGCAAAGTTGAATAAATATTTTTGGTAAATACACAAACACTTACCAACATTTCTAAGTAAATTCACGGCTTAGTGATCGAATCGTAACTTTCAGTTATCTTTTTGTAGGTTTAAGAGCTGTTCTGCTCCAATATATCGCTATTTGTCGCATAAACAAAGCCGAGTACACAAATATGTATTGGCCAAGTTAATGAATTCTATTATTTGTTAAGTACTTTACTCTTCTTTTGACATTAAAGTTCCCCATTTTTTAATATACAGATATTCTTCAACAAGGCACCAAGATATTTATTGTACCTCCGGCTAGTCCATTAAATGAAACAACTTTTGAAAGTCAAATGAATAACTTACCATTTCATCGATCTGAGCAAGTTAGTTAACTTACATGAATTATTATGATTGGAATCTATTACAGACATTAATGTTTAGTGGCTTTTAAAAAATGATTTCGAAACTAACTTACGTTTAATCTATTAGAATTCTTTTTTATCTCCGTAATATTTATCATAAAAGACAAGAGTTTGTTTAAGGATAGAAAATCACAGTGGTTGGACAGTAAAACTATTTTTTATTCAAATACCATCCCACATAACACACCAACTTTGTTTTTGTAATACATGGTTATTTCGGATGTAAATATCTTTCACAATTAAAACATTCCACTTGTTTGAACGTATGTATAATGAATATTCTAAATCTTAATTTGTATACGAATGAGTCTTATGTGCGACATTTGTAACTGATATAAACTAAAAACGTATGGATGGATAAGCTATTGAGATAATTTGAACTCTGTCGTTTTATACTCACAAACATTAAAGATGATTCGTTTGGTATGAATGAACTAAACAAAACAAAGAAGATTGAAGTATTTTGTCCATGATTTTAGAGTCAGTAAAGAGTTGAGATTGCACATATATAGTCTATTGAAAATTTAAATTTTGACTGTGAAACGTATTTAAAAGAGTGAGTGTAATTCTCTCTCTTTGTTCCCATAGTGTACGTGGTTTGTACTTGTAAATTTGTAAACGGACTTTAGATACTTTAAACTGCCTATTATTGGTGAAAGCCTGTGAAATAAAACATCATTGCACTTTATTCCTCAAAGTATATTATTTCTTCATTGATACAGATCTGACTATTTCTTATAATCGATAAAATGTAGTTACCGTGCTAAGTCATTGAATAGGAAGTGAAATCTAATCCAATATCTTTGAGACTAGACAAATGACCCGGTCAATTTTGAATTCGTTAAAACCTATCAAAAATCTCTACTTCGATGGTTCTCCACAGGTTTATTGATAGTAATCTGAAGCCAAAACGTCAGCTGAAAGTAAATTCACAGTTTTGAAAATTTTATTTATGACTGCCAAATTCAAAGGGGATGCGACAACAGGAATATTGCACAACAGATTATCAAGGTTTATAAGCTAAACCTACTTAGTGGAGCTCCGAACTTTTCCCTCTAGTAAACACCTCATTTGTAGATGTGTCTAGGATAAATTGGCATTTTGGGTCATCTCACTGTGTATCTATTGGCTTACTTGCTATTATGGATCCGGCAATATAGATTGTTCAAAGCATGCACTTACCAAACGCAAATTCGAGCACTATCCATTTTTGTCTAAAGGGGTATCCAAGTTAGTTAATAGCTCAGTCATCAATCACATTCTCAATTTAGGTAATTACCTATTTCATTTCTTGTAAAAATATCATTTCATATTAGCTTCAACTCACTCAATACTTCAAAACATTTATTAGTCTTTATTACTTTTTAAGTGATGCAGCGCCTCTCCGGTTGTTATAAACCATTATATTCAGTACTTGATTATGTACAACACTTTCGTTAAATGACTCAACACCATCTGTTCTATTTCTGACTACCATTTTTAAAAGTAAATTTTAATACAATGTTGCGGTGACATGATTTAAATTAAAGTTTTCCGCGGAACTATATTCTTTGTGGTCATGAACCAATCAATGTTAGACCGCCATTGAAAAACTGAAAGCATTGGGGGTCATCCTGTTCTAATGTGGGACTCATCAGAAGAGCGCATTTACGATCTCATGTTGTGCGACCGTCTTCGGTTGGTAACTGCCTCACGGCCGACATCGTTAAACTTCTAGAACTACCTTTCTACGCTATTCACTAATGAGCACATGACAATGATCAGTATAGGTCTGTAGAAATTGTTGTTTTTATTGAGATAATTTCTTCCAGTTTCCTATATTTACAATTATTACAATTCAGTAGGCCAGTCCTGAAGCAACAACTTGCATTTAGAGAGAGAAAAGCGCATTCCAAACATTCTGGCATTGTTGCTTAGTGCTAACAAAAGACTCTGCATTTTGTCAGCGTCTTCACCAAACAGGACTATATCATCTGCGTATTCTAAGTCGATAAGTGGACCTCCTGGTTGGAGATCAATACCCGAGAATTCAGTCGATGAGAATGTTATTTCCATCAATAGGTCTGTGATGAAGTTAAACAGAAATGGAGAAAGTGGACAGCATTGACGGACACCACTTGAGGTTGCAAAAGTAGATGACAGTTCGCCATAAGCTCTGACTCGACTAGTAGTGTTCGAGTGAAGAGTCTTCACAAGGTTTATGTATTTCTGAGGTACGCCATTCAATGACAGACACTGCCACAGCACCTCTCGCTTCACAGAGTCAAATACCGCTTCTAAGTCAAGAAAGACCACCATTGTCGGACGCCGATAAGTATGCCTGTGTTCGAGAACCTGAAAATGGTGACTATTTGATCGATGCGACCACGACCAGATCTGAAGCCAGCCTGGTTTTCTCGTGTTTGCAGTTCACGAGTCTTAGTTAGGCGTCCGATCATTATCGAGGCTAGTATTTCAGATGCTATATTAGTTAAACCAATCCCTCTGTGGTTGTCACAGGATGATTTTGACCCTCTCTTATATATTGGGACGATAAGTGACTGTGACCAGTCAGATGGGATAACGTCCAACTCCCAGATTTTAGCTAAAATATTAGTCAACCTAATCGCTAAAATTGGACCACCATCCTTAAAGACCTCTGGAGCCAGTCCATCTGGACCAGCTGCCCTTCCTCGTTTCAGATTAACCATAGCCTCTTGAACTTCAGCTAGAGTTTGGGGACCTACTTCATTGTTCCATTCACACTGTCTGGGAATGGAGGGTAGTTGTAGAGTAGCTGAAGGCCAGGTGAACTGTCCTCTAAAATGTCCCGCCCATCGTTCTAAACGTCTGGACTGGGAGCAGATGAGGGTGTCGTCTTTTTCCGAAATAGTCTGACTTACACTTGACTTATTAATTCCAGTTTCTTTTATTAGTCTGTAGAGCTGTCTTGTGTTCCCTATAGCCGCCGCGTTTTCCATCTCTTTTGCTTTCGTTGCCCACCACTGCTCACGGTCGTTCCTTATACTTTTGCTTAATCTAGATCTGATTTGTTTTCGCTCTTCATCGTGTTCAGAGTCTAATGGGACGAGTTTGCGAGAATCCATCAGTGCAATAGACCTTGAAGAAATCCACTGGTTCTTTGTAACTCTGTGGTTTAAGTCACTGATAGATTTCATTGCTGTTTCCACAGATGTTTGTATATCTTTCCACGCAACATCTGGCAACCTGGACCGATGCATATATGTGCCTGGTCCCACGTTGTAGCTGACTGACTGAGTAGGGTAGCATTCACGATCATTTCTCACTCGAATGTATTGTGTTTCGCTTTGGTTGTTTAGTCGATCACCATTTATGTTATTTTAACATTCAAATAATATGCAAAACAATCTTAATGATAGTAGTAACATTAATGGTATACTAAACGAGATGATTGTAAACTTGGAAAAACATAGTTCCATCCAGTAAACTGAGTTATATTAGTTAAAAAATATTCTCAGATTGTTCTCTCTTCCTGTGAAAAAATAATAATCTTTTTCCCATTTCATCGACTTTCGATTTTTTATGTTTAGCCTAATCAAAGTTCATGTAATAATTTGAGTTCTACATCTGGGTCCAATCTCGATAGTTCAAGCATTCCACAAACAAATTCAAGACGTAGTAATCGACAAGTAGATGGTTATAAATTCAAATCGATTTGGGTAAAGAAAAATGTACAAGGTGGATTTACAGAAGTTTGGTTACAATCACCTGGTTCTTTTCTAAAAAATGGATTCACAATTCAGGTAATTTATTATTGTTTAAAATGAACCAGGCATTTTTAACCCCATGTCATTTTTCAGTTATCAGTCGTAGCTGCTACAATGACGTGGTGGTTTAGCTTGTTTATTATGATAATTAATCCAAATCCGCTGGAACACTTGCTCCTTTAGGTCATGTCATGCTAGGCAGGTTAGTTAAAGACTAAATGTATCAACCTAAATTTCGAGGGCGAATTCATACTGCTGAGTGTACAGAAGTAAAGTTTCTTCCAAATAACCTGTATGGCGTTGCTGCCTTTTAAAATTGAAGCAAGGGGTTATAAATGGTCACTCTTAAAGGTCCTATATTTAACCTTACCGACAGATTTTCGCCTCTGTAAGTAACTCTTTTACAGTATGGAGCCGATACATCAGAAACTTGAATAACATTTGTGCACGACTAACCTCGAACTGTTGTCCTTCGGGCTCTGTGGTCTTGGAAGTCTGATCAGCCCTGACGGGTTGGTATCGGACGAAATCTCAGCCCGGATTCGAAAAGCTCGCTTGGCTTTTGCCACCTTACGTCACCTATGGCGAAGGTGAGATATCCGTCTATCAATAAAAGGACGAGTATACTGCGCGGCAGTCCGTTCTGTTTTACTTTACAGCTGCGAAACATGGCCTTTAAGAGTAGAAGAGACTCGTAAGCTACTAGTATTTGACCACAGATGCCTTGGAAATATTGCTGGCGTCTGCTGGGATCACCGGGTAAGTAATAGTGAGGTTAAACACAGGGTATTAGGGGATGATGGTAAATCAGTTGATGAGGTTGTTAATCTTCATCGACTGAGACGCATGAGCCACGTGTCGCGTATGCCTGAACACCGATTACCACGACGTGCAATGCTAACCGGTGTTGGGGATGGTTGGAAGAAAGTTAGGGGCGGCCAAACCAAAACGTGGCATCAGTGCCTGAAGTCACTAACTTCTAGTCTGAGCCATGTTGGTAGATGCAGACTACTTGGTTGGGGTCCGCGTGACTTTCGTAACCAATGGTTGGAGACTCTTGGTGACATGGCTCAGAATCGATCACAATGGCGTCGGTGTATACACTCCCTGTCTTCCCTTAAACTAAGAGATTAAAATCGCTTCATATCTTTCTTTCTACGAACTAATTATTTCTTCATGTACTATATCCTTATTGCAATCTTTCTTTTATATATCATCACCTCTGAATTAACTACTTTTATGAATCCGGTGTCCATCTTGTTGTGTTAATTAGGTATGGCAACTTGGACCGATGCATATATGTGCCTGGTCCTACGTTGTAGCTGACTGACTGACTGGGCTCTGTGGTTACACTCCCGGGTCACTATAGTCACTATTAATTCAGCTTATTTTTCAGGCCCATAAGAAAAAGTATCCTTCCACTCTGTGTACAACCCGAATGTGACAACTGCCCTTATATCTTTAACAGCATTCGAGACCACCTTTTTCATAATCAAACCCCGTAACTTTTTAATATTTCTTCAATCCCCACTACCAACTTTTCTTCTCTGTCTTTATCACCATGCGTCACTAATGCTAACAAATCGCTCTTAGGAACTGTGCTTTGGACTACATGATGGAGTTTCAGTGTTCTAACCGTATGTCTAATCGAACATCAGGCTTCTTTAGGTGGTACTACAGAATCTCATGCTATCAATTTGTGCTGTGGCTTCAAAACATGCCTGTGGAACCCATGTGTGGTCATTGAATGAACGTCACGTAGTAAAAATGGAGGGTTGGAGTGACTTATCCTCTGTGTATCTCTGGACGTGACTTTTACTTCCTGTTTCCTCGCTGGAGTGTGCATCCCACTTAATTCAAAAGTAGAATAGACTCACCTGAACTGCATCTCAATAGATAGTCTCTTATACGCTGTCTGACTAAAAGAGAGATTAGGAGCACAGAAAGTTAGATATATTTGGTGGCACCTCTTTGTCTTCTCTGTCTACATTTTAAATAGCTGCAGTCCAGATAAAACGAAATATGAGTTTTGCATAGAGCTTTCTGCTGTTCTTAGAAAACTGAAGGGTCGAGCGTAACCCTAGCACTTAACTATTTGATCTTAGTAAGTTTTAAGTTTGAGCATACAAAGATACATCGTAAGTCTCAAAATCGACAGATCGATGGACACAAATAGACCATATTACCATCACCTATCGTCGATAAAGATTGTTAGAAGACTGTCGTTCATTTTGGAGCTAGTCAGTCAGTAACAAAGCAGAACTTCGCACGTAGGTACATCAGTTCATGTTACCATACCACATTAGCACAGAGATGCATTTGTCGATTCAAATCCCATAGTGGTAGAGGTAATAAGAGTATAAGCAGTAATCGGAAAGATTAGGGCTTGAAGATGTTATTCAAGAAGTATAATACAGTGAAATAAATTTGGAAAGAGAAAAAGAAGGGACATGAAGGTCTCAGAAGATTAGAACTTGAGAGAACATAAAGAGTGGATGAATCTGCGCCATTGCAAACGATTTTGAGCCATGTCATTCAGGGTCTCTAACAATCGGTTACTATCATCTCGCGGTCCCCAACCAGGTAGTCTACACCTATCAACATAACTCAATCCACATATCAGTGACTTCATGGATTTGTGCCATGTTGTGGTCTGGCCGCCCCTAACATTCTTCCAACCTACTCCTACACTATCGAACATCTTTTTGGGTGGAGTTTTGTTCTCTGAGCTGGATGGTTTGTTCGTAGAGCTTTCATCGTTCTTCTGAACGACGTCATCAGCACAAACATCAGATAGAACATCGCACGTCGAGGCAGTCGGTGATTGGGCATACGTAACACGTGCCCCAGCCATCTCAACTGATGAAGTTTCGCTACTTCATCAATTGATTTTCCGTCCTTACCTAGTACCCGTTTCCTAACAACTGAGTTATTTACTCGATGATCCCAGAATATACGAGCAATGTTTCGAAGACACCTATGATCGAATACTAGTAACCTACGGATATCCTCTACTCTTACCGGCCATGTTTCACTGCCATAAAGTAGGACGGAACGAACTGCTGCGCTGTTTTCAATTCGATAATGCTTCAAATTGAGCTTTACTGAAGTCAAGAAAGCTGCAACAAGAAAACGTATTAGTGTTCAGCTTTTCTACAAGATGTCAAAAATCTATTACCGGAAATACTAGAGAAGCAGTTAGACAATCATAAAAGCAATGATAACCCTAATGTAGACTGGCACGATATTCAGAGAGCTGTGAAAACAACTGTATTATCTACCAGTGATTTGAACCAAAAGATCTAGAAATATTGATGGACTTTGATACTATCTACTGAATTGATAGATGCTCAAAAACTCGTCCTATCAGATTTGGAACACAATGCGGAGCGAAGACAACATAGACATAAACTGACATGTCTATGCAATGATCGTAACCAGTATTGGTCAGTGAAAGCAAGAGAGATTATAAAAGCAGCTCAATGGACAATGATAGACTACTTTTCAGGCATGCAAGTAGATTGGTATTAAAAAGGTTATAAGTTAGACTATTTCTGACAAAGATAGGGCAGTAATCCACTCTCAACCCAGTAGACTAAAACGATGTGTAAAACACTTTAAAGAACACGTTAACTGGTTTTCAACTACCATCCAGTTTTTAACTGTTACCAAGCAAATTCAATGGAATGTCAACACAAGTCATCTGAATAGTAATAAAGTTGAGAATATATGGTTTATCTAAAGTGGAGTAAAGCAGCAGGTCCAGATGTCAGGCAGTCAGCTACAACGTAGTACCAGGCAAATATATGCATCGGTCCAAGTTGCCATAACTCATTAACACAACAAGATGAACATCAAATTCATAGGAGTAGTTACTTCAATTGCAGTAATACATAAAATAAAGATTGTGTATAAGGATATAGTACAGGAAGAGAGAATTAGAAAGAAAGGTATAAAATGATTTTAATCTCTTAGTTTAAGGGAAGACAAAGAGTGTATACACCGACTTCATAGTGATCGATTCTGAGCCATGTCACCTAGTCTTCAAACATTAGTTACGATAGTCTAGATGTAATAGTCTAGAAAGTCTTTAATGATTGGGGTCTGGTCTTAGCAGTTAGAGTATTTGCGTATACCAAACAGTTGCTCCTCATCAAATTTTGGAATACAGACAAACCTACTGATTCCTAACCACAGTTCTATTTCTCGACCTTAAGGCAGCGTTTGATTCTGTTGGTTGCAAGATTTTATGGGACTGTCTGTCAATTAAAAGCTCACCACAGTACAGCATCCTTGTGCAGACTGTATACTCGAATGCTACTGGTTGAGTCAGAGCTTATAACAAACTGTCATTGGAAGTGCTAACATTTAGTGGCGTTTGTAAGTTTTCCAGTGCCCCTATTCTTGTCTAACCTCGTCATAGACATTCGTCTAGTGATAATGCTCTCATCGTTTAACGTTTCAGGGATTGATTTCTTACTGAGAATATCGCTTGCTAACTTAGAATACTTAAGTAACATAGTCTTGTTTTGATAGAAACTCTGAGAAAATGCAGTCTTCCAATCGTCTTGAGCAACAGTGTAAACACGTGTGGTTTGTAATTTGTTCCTTCTAAATTCGATATGTTGCTTCATGACTGGTTTGCGTTGACACTTAAATTAATGATAACGAGTGAAGCAGTAGAGTGCTTCTACCATTTCACTTGTCTTAAATGTATCACCAGCCATACTAGTAATTAGAATTAGAGGTTGCCTCCGAAGCATTGCTCGCGCTTTTTGGGACCTTTTAGTGTGCAATCATGATGTCAGACAAAGAACATCACATTCGTTGGGAGACAGCCTAGAATTGTCTTTTTACAGAGCAGATGTTTATATTCCTTTTCTTCCCTCAAATCCTAAATGTTCTAATCAGCCTTTAAATTTTTTTATTTCACGGTTTTTGTCTTTTTGCCGGGATCATATTATCTATCTCTTTAATGTTTTCAACTGCTGTGGTACCTCGCTCTGCCGAAGTTGTGTTAAAACATGAACCGGTGC